TAAAAAAAAACAATCTCCACCTCCAGTTTATTCTTCTAGTTAAGACCAATGAATGCTGATTGATAGGTCCTAAAAATAGAGACAACGAAGGGATAAGTAAAATGAGGAAACGAAGAGGATAAATTATCAAAGTATGTAAAAGATTGTATCATATGATTAATACATCGTTGTTAACATTTTGTAGAGTACTTGGGAGAGGATATGAGATTCTAAATGTAGATATATGCATAGAGAAAAGAAATAAGATGGAAGGAGATGCATAAAAAAGGAGGCAAAGAGGTTAGCAAGCAAAAACGTTTTGTTGTAGGGTGCACACTGAATCAAGAAGCTAAGTAAAAATACTGGGAGAAAATTTTACTGTGGAGGAAAGAGGTTAGCAGAAAAATATTTTGCAGAAGATAATCTCAATGGATAGATACATCAAGGGAAAATGTAGATAGAATATGAAAGCATAAACTACCAAATTACAAGATTGCTCCAATAGATACATTTAATTGCATAAGGAGAGACTTTGTCAAATATAGAAAAAAGAGTGGATAAACATATAATGAAAAGCACAAGAAATTAGAAGAAAAAACGATGTACGTGGATAAAGAAAGGAAAAAAGGGTTTAACTTCTATTGGAGCACTGGAAGACGCGTGACTGATTAAGCATACTGTAAAAAAAGCGTCTCCCCAAAACTATCAAGAAATATTTACATAAATATTAAACTACAAGCAACAAAAAAGAAACGTCAATGCTTACATTTAGCATTATTTTGTTGAATGTATAAAACAATGATTGATGTATAGCACTATTTTTTAACATAGAAGACACGAAAATTAACACATATTTCAAGGTATCATTATGTTAAAGAATTATAGGTGAAAGATTTAACATTTGTTTCTTGATAAAATTGCTTAAATATAAGAAAGACTTTGAATCAATAGTTTAAGCAATACACTGAAAAACTAAAGTGTAGTCATTAATAAAAAAAATGAAAGAATAAAAATCCACGTAGAAAGATCAAAATTTACCAAGTGAAAAGGAGTATTATTATAAGAAATGTAGAGATAAGAAAAGAGAGACAATGTTGTTCAACATATTCATAAGCTTCAAATCAATCTTAGAAATAAAAGGAAAATAAGTATAAATCCAAATATATAGAAGACGTGGCCAAGACTATAATGGCACTAGTTTGAGAAAATAATAAAAGATAAGGATATATACATAACATTAAATAATTAGTAAATGCCTCCAACTTCGACACCCACAATTGCTTTCTTCCTGCTGTGATCCTAAAAAAATAATATTAAGATAAAAGAACATTGACCATTTATACGGTTTCCATCGATAACTTATAGATAAAGATTTCCAAGAAAGTGGGAATATATACGACATTTTAATAAATTGATGAGAAGCCTGTAATATTTCCGAGTGATAGAAAAGAGAGATCCATCAATAATGAAGATAGAAGGGCTAAAATAAATAATAAATGAGATAAGTAATTGTGGATTACCTGTCATATGAGGAGGTATCATAATCTAGAACTTAAGAAGTACTAAAGTGCAGTTGCAATTGTTTACTAGAATAAATAACAAGAAAAGCTGAGGTAGTCAACTGGGAGTGTCATAGTAGGTGATCATATTCTTCTTGGCAGAGAAAAGTAGCTAAAAAATAAGTAGCAGAATCAAGGTTAATGGTGACAACATGCTAAGTGCTCAAGGACAACCAATTTTTTTCATAAATAATAAGAAAAGCTGAGGTAGTCAACTGGGAGTGCTATAGTAGGTGTTCATATTCTTCTTGGGAGAGAAAAGTAGCAAAAAAATAAGTAGCAGAATCAAGGGTAATGGTGACAACATGTTAAGTGCTTAAGGACAACCAATTTTTTTTCCAACAATGGTTGAATGAGTGAATAGTCTTTGTAGATGCTAACAAAGTAGAAAAAGTATTGATTATAATGATGTCCACCACCATGATTACCTCGACTGCATTGTTCGTGATTAGAAGAAGATGAAACAATAAGCTGAGTAACCCAAAGTATGTGTTTATCACTACTACCCTCAATAACTCGAAGAATGTGTGCGGTCATTATTAATAAAAAAAACCCAAAGAATGTGTAAAACCCACGGAGACATTTAAAACAATACAATAAACAATTAATTGAACTCGAAAAAATTGGAGAGAAGAATGGACACCTAAGAAAAACTTGGTATTAGGAAATTCCTCATTTTACTTTTGCTAAGTAGTGGGATAGGGGTAAAAGAGTTACATTGCAGTTCATCCTATTTGCCTTTCAAGGTACTATTCATCTTGTACAAAATTTTCATATGAAAGTAAAAAAATAACAATGCAAAAAGTGAAAGCTAAAAAGATACAAATGTTTTAAAAGTATGTAGAATGAAGAAAATTCAAAATCAATCTTGTGGTCAGAGGCTTGTCAGTTTATATATTTGGCAAAGCATGTTTCTTTAGGGGTCAAAGTATCCATATAATGAGTTTTTTCATGAGATCCAATGAGGATATGAAAAGTTTGAAACCACAGGAGAGATGGTATCATTGAGTTTGCTAATGGTATCAATATTGGAGGACTTCACTTCAGAGAAAAGAATAAAGAAAGTCATCAATGAACACAGTAAAAAGAAGGTCAAAACTATAAGTTAATTAATCATATAGGTCAAGGAAGCCTGCTCAACTATGTTAAGGAGAAATCATAGGATGAGATCTATTTAGTAAACATTGCACATGTGAGAGGATATATAAGACAACATAAAATGAGCGAGAAAGAATGTTGTAGGTGTGAGGGGGTCAAGATAAGTTATGGGGAGCTCAAAGCACAAGATAGAAGCATAATAACATTGTAGGTGTGAGGCTTATCAAGGTTGCAGTGCTATGGGTGGAGGTGGCAATTGTGTCAAGCGAGCACAATGCACTGAGTGCATGCAAGTGGGCAATTGCAGTTGATGAGGGACGCATGAGAAAATGTATGGGATAAAGAGAAGGGGTTAAGGAATCCATGGCTAATCCCCAATTGACTTTGGTAACCTGTTAAAAAAACAGAAAACTAATTGATTTCTTTCACCATAATACATGTGCTTCTACATAAACAAACACAAGAGATGAAATAGCTAAGGAATGAATAGAAGAATATTGAATAACTAATAACTTTGTATCAAGTAAAATATCTATAAAAACAGAAAGAAACAAATGAAATAAAATCAACTATAAAATAAAATCAAAACTCATAATGTTGATTTGTATCATGATTCTTTGCTTTCATCTTTATAAATTTTCATATTTTCTTGTTCAATGTCGAAAAAGATAACTCTATTTTTCATGGCTGACCATACACAACTTTGAATTCATGCCATCTTTGTTTAAGCCGTTCCTTTATAATCATTTCCCATCAATTTAATCTAGACTTCTTATTGATTCATCTTCTCCCATTCATGATAAATGCCCAGACCACCTAAAAACCTATTTATCACTACTTTATCTTCAATAGTTGTCATTTTAATCTTTATATTATATTATCATTTTTATTATATTTTTCCTAGTTTATAACTATGCTCTATCAAAGCATTTCATTTGAAATGTTCAACAAAAATAATAGAGTAACTAAAGTACAAAGATAAATAAGAATCCACTATTTCTTTCATTCTTTTTGTCACAATAGAATGATTGTGCCTTGGATGTATTCCTACCTTTAAAGCTCTTCTTCATTCTTTTTAATGCGTCAGCATCTTATCTTCGCCTCAAGGAATCACTTGGAGCAAGTAAATGGGACACTATGTTTGACAAGAGAGCCATCCAACGGTTTCACGGGATTCCACAATCCTGCTTATGTGTGACGAGAGGGAGAAGGGAATTTTTGTTCAATTCAAAACCCAATAGGGAACTTTAGCAGCTATTGCTGCCACGGTTCTTGTGGAACCTACTTTTCTTTTATTTCTGAATTAGAATTAGGGTCATATTGACTTTAGATTATTTATATATTGCTATCTCTTATTTTTTTGAGACTTTTGCTTTGTTTTGTGTATTTTGGATAATGTATTCATTGCTTTCTGCCATAGAAAGTGTTGAATCCTCTATTTTTTTCAAGTAGCGTGTCAGTAGCTTGTTCAAGAACATGTGGTGGATCTTCCTTGGCAACTTTGCCTCATTGGAGCTGGAGTTTCGTGATTTTCTCTTTATTTTCAGCCTGGGAGCCACTGAACTGCTGTTCTGGCGTCCGATTTGCTGCCCAACAACAGTTTTCGCCGTTCCTCAACCACTGTCATCCTTTCCACCTCTGTTCCTCATTCCACAACCCTGCTAAAACCCATTTCCTAACCTCACACTTCGACTAGTTGCCTTAGGCCGGTGTCATTGTTCCCACTGAGCTTCTTTTTTATTCAGGAAAATCTATAAGACCAATATTACTTGCATTAACCATATAGACATTGCGGTTTCCAAGCATTGACATTTGCTTGTCAATTCAAAAATAAAACCAAGATCCAAAAAATCATAACAAATCCGCTCCCATGTTTCATGAATCAATTCATTTGTGTTCTCTTGCAGTGCAGTAGCTTAGTTAATTAAACTATTATATGGCCAAAAAAAGCCAAAAATCTAGTGTTTTTTTATGCTCTAAACATTGATGAAGTGACAAATAATTTCAAAGTTATCCTTTGGTTCTTTTAGAAATTGAAGATTTGCACCACCAATTGGAAATTGACAGAATGGAGCAAAAATTCCCTTAGGACATGTAATTAGAACTGCTAAATGTGTAATGCATTTTAAGATTAGTACACAGTGCCTCATAAATGATTGAGTGGAAGGTCCCATCTTTTACATCAAACAGAGGGAAGTTTTTCTTTTCAGATCCGAATATTCTGAATTGGATGACAACAAAAATGAGTAATTGTCCGAGAAAGAAGAAGCTGGAGAGAAGAAAAAAGTAATTGGATAAAGGCAAAAAATAACATAAGCTTTGCATATCACTACTTAAAAACAGAAAGGATATTGGCAAACTTACAGAAATCTACTGTCTGTCCAGCACATATTTCCAACACTTCGCTGGTACATAGGGGGGTATATCTATAAAATTATGTCCGTTAGAAAAATATAAAAAAAGAGAAAAAATTTTCAACCAAGTTGTCCACATGGAAATTAAATAATATGCTGAATTTTTTCAGACAATGCAAATTATTATGCAGAAAACAAGATGGCACAGAAAGAACAAAACATTAAGATAATTCTTCATGTCAATGGCTGCTAGCTCTTTACAGCAACATGCTTTTTGGCAATGTAATTTTAAGTCAATTTCAATGCACTGCTAAGAGAATCCACAAGCAATATGACAAAACTGCTGTCAGCTTCACCAACATAGGGTTGTAAATCACATAGAAGACGAAGGATTTATCTGAAATCTATCAAAGTGACACCTTATCATGCAATGCATAAAAAATGAAGGATGAGAGGACATTTTCCTCACAAACAGTTGGCTCATTGAGCTTATTTTTTAAAAGTCTAAATCCAGTGAATGATTTCTTCTCAAGCATCATCGAGCCATCCATGGAGGCATTGCTCGCTTGAATTGAAGTTTGTAAGGGTAGAGTGCAATTTGAGCAATAATGGAAGATTGGAGCGTAATTGTTCTAGACATGCCTACATTCACCAACCAAATCCATTCAAGATTGTGATGAGACAAAAAAACCGTATGTGTTTATGCATTCAAGCAAACTTGTTTATGTTTCAATCTTATCTCAAGCTAACTCGATCTGATCCATAGGTCAACTTAATTCAAGTTCCATCCGTGTTGGGTTTGCTTTTTTAATCAATTTGTTTACTTCGATCAAATCTTAACTCAAGCCAAAAATTGATTTGATTTTCTAGTGATATTTGAGATAAATTCAAAGCCTTAAGGATACAACAGTAACAACAATAACAAAACCTTAATCCCACTACGTGAGGCCGGCTACATGAATCCTTTTTCTCCATTGTATCCTATTTAGTGTCATATTTTCATTTAGTTCTAATAAATTAAGATCATTTTTATACAATAAGCCCAAGTCTTCCTAGGTCTACTCTGCCTTTCTTAACATAAGTCGAATCTAAAACATCTACTCTACTAATTGGAACATCAGATGGTCGACGCTTAATGTGACCAAACCATCTAAGACGAATTTCTCTAATTTTGTCCGTCACAGGAGCTACATCGACCCTATCACGGATATACTCATTTTGCATTTTGTTTCTAAGTGTAAAGCCACTCATCCACCTAATCATTCCCATCTCGACAACACTTAACTTAGTATTATGTTTCTCTTTTAAAAGCCAACATTCAGCGCCATAAAGCATTGCAGGTCTCACCACCGTCTTATAAAATTTTCCTTTCAGTCTAAGTGGTACTTTTCTATCACACAAAAGGCCCGACGCATTCCTCCACTTCAACCAACCAAGTTAAATTCTACTATTAACATCCCCATCTATATCACAATGGCTTTGAACAGCAGACCCAAGATATATAAATCCCTCACACCTTTTAATAATTTGATCACCCAAAGTTACACTTTTGTCACTATAGCTACTACTGCTAAAATTATATTCCATGTATTCAGTTTTATTTCTACTTAAAGGAAGGTCTTTAGACTCCAAAGTTGACCTCCATAATTCAGGTTTTTCCTGAGCTTTTTCTCTCGTTTTTTCCTCGAGAAGGATATCATCAGCAAAAAACATACACCAAGGTACATCCTCCTGTGGATGTCCAGTAAGACCATCCATAACTAAAGCAAAAAGATATGGGCTTAAAGCTGATCCCTGATATAATCCAACAGAAATAAAAAAATATATCATCACCCATCCTAGAAGTCAATTAAAGCATGCTATCTCCATTAGAGCTTACATACAATAGCCAATAGATGTTTGTGACATCTCTAATTCTTGTAAATATACAGGGGAAAAATTAAGATGGAAACATCAACAGCACATAACAAATTTTCATGCAACCACATAAGTGCCATGTAGCGCACACTATTTTCCTATATCATCAAAACAACTTGAGTGTGGTCCCCTTTATTAGATGCATATGTTGTAGATTTTCCAAACTCTATTCCGATTGTGTTGTTATTTGTGAGAAGTGCAGATTGACACGAGATAACTAGATAACATAATATGGTTATTTTTAATTAAATAAGTAATCATAATAATAGATGTATTTCAAGGTTTATAAATATTGATAAAACTTAGGTTTCAAGCCTTTTCAATGAAAAAAATTGTAAAATTAGCTTTGAATTTCATAAATTATTATAAATTCAAGAGAAAAATCTAGATGACTAAGTGGAAGCATATTGCATAGCATACATATTATTTTAATGAATACTTACACATCCATAATATCTTAAAAAATATTTTCAAACTGTAAAAATTAAAAAAATTATCAAAAAAATTTCAATACGCTAAAAATAGCTTTTTGTACACCTTTACAAATTAATCTGCTCCATATAATTCCAAATTAATCCAAGAGAAAAGGACTAGTAATCTCCATACTCTTGAGCCAATACTATGGTATTAACATGACTGATTAGATAAAATTGCCAAAAATATGAGTCTAGCCTAGTTGAATCTCAATTAAGCAAAACGTCCTAATGTGCAACACCTTAATAAGGGTAAAAAAAATATGCACTGGTAGGGTGCGAAATTGGGTTTGCGGATTGGATTCAAGTTTAACCTGAAATCGGTTCGATTTGAAATTGCTTGACCCATATCCGACCATAATATTATTCGTGCACAATGTCTAAATCAAACCCAACCTTTAGCCTAACTAAACCAAACCAACCCGAGTAACTCATTTAACATTGGAATAACAATTATTTGGGTGAATTTAGAGTTGGCAAACCAACCCAAAAAAAGTACACAAGTTGGTATTTTAACCTAAAACCCAATAAAAATTAATAATGTCAATTTTAACCCAAATTTTTCGAGTTGATTTGAGTCAGGTTGGCGCGTTGGATCAATTTTTAACACACATGTGTAACTAATTGATATTGATGCTAAGGAATATATGAACCCTAAATAGAAATATATTATGCATTGATACTTGTGCCAAGGCACCCAAAGAGAGCAATATCATGCATGGGGCAAGCTTATGTTTATATTGACCCAATCTAGAATATACAAAGGAATCAACATTGACACCCATGGGAATTCTTGTAGAATAAGGAGTTATATATATATGTTTTCGCCATCCTTTGATTTCTTCAGCCTTCAATCCATCCTTTGGTGTTCGACGACGAAGTTCCCGCACTCGACGATGACGACAAAGGACTTCAATCTCTTTTGCGATCATCGTCTTCTCTTTCGCGCCCAACGACGAAGGGGTTCGGCGCCTACTTCTGCGGCTTCGTCATCTCCTCATTCGTGCCATCCAGTTTTTGCGGTTCTTTTCTGCGCAGATTCCCTCATCTAGCTGCGGTTTCTTGTCTGTCTTCTGCGCATTTCATCTGCGGTTTCTGTCTGCTGCGCATTTCACCCCGACCTCTTCGGCTCGTCTTTTTTTGCCCTCTGCCCAACTTGCAGGGCTTCTCTTTGCTGAGATGGAGCTTCCTTCTTCTTCGGTTGAACCTGAAACCTCCTTTGCCCACGTGTTAGGCAATTTGCCCACGTGATGGGTAATCCTCAGGGAGAGATGGCGGTTGTCTTTCCTTCAAGTTATAAGGAGCATCGTGATGGTATAGGAGACTGCCCCTTTATTAAGAATGCAAGCAAAAAAAGTGGGAAAACAACACTCTTTTTCTCTGCGTCAGAAATTTCAACGCTGACTGACAAATTCAAGTTTGCTCTTATTGAAAAATTTCAGTGGGAGCACCCACCTACGTAAGTTATCAGAAAAAGTTTTGATGACCTCAAATTGGCAGGAAAGTAAAAAAGTGAGGCTCATGGATGGAAGGCATGTATTGATTCAGTTAATCGTGCCTAAGGACTACACTCGGATTTTCTCCAAAAAATATCTTAACATCGTTGGTAAAGCAATGAAGCTACTCAAGTGGTCTCCTGATTTTGACCCCAATCATGAACCTCCTACTGTAACGATTTGGTTTAGTCTACCTGGTCTCAAGTTGCACTTTTTTCATCATCAGGTTCTTTACTCTATTGGTGTCATACTTGAAGATTCTATGAAGCTAGATCTACCCACTTTCAACCTTACCAGACCTTATGTGGCCAGAATACTTGTGAAAGAGATATTATTTTGCCTGATGTTACTAAAGTTTGGTTGAACACAACGCATAATGGATATTGACAGCAAATCGTCATGGAGCATATACCTCCTTATTGTTTTCATTATAAGATGTTTAGGCATACCCTTGATAAATGTCATAAGTTTCATTCTATTTTGAAATCTAAAGATCAAGTGAATAAGGATGGATCTAAGAATATATTTGTTCTACCTGGAGAGAAAACCACCACAGGATAGGATTTGGTGTCTGATTCTATTGCTCCTGTTGACCCTCCCACTAAAAATATTGTTTCTGCGATTGATGAGAAGTTGGATGGCCCTGTTGAGCAACCTACACTTTCAAAATTGAAAATAATAATGAAAGACCCCTATCTGCATGGACTGATAATCAAGAGAACCTTACAACTCCCCACCTTCAGGAAGTATCAGGGGTAGGGTAACAAGTCTTACCTCACATACACTTGTTGGCAATTTTTCTACTGCAGTACCACCTCATCCGAATGAGCAACAATCTTCTGATGAGGAATGACAGGTCTACACTTTCAGGAGGAAAAAGAAGAATGATGATCTACTTAAGCTAAGGAATCTAATGGATGATACTCTTGTTATTTCGGGCAAAGGCACACAACTCACCAATCTGTTAGTTAGTTTGTTTCCGAGAACTAGAGGCAGAGGCAAAACTAAAGTGGGTCGACCTGGTTGATCTTTTATGTATCACCTACTTTTGGGTTTTTAATTTTCTTCTTTTTCTTTTTTTGTGTGTTGTACCGTATGTATTGGGTGTCTATTTCGGTCCACTCATACAGCCTATCTGTACCCCTTTCTCCTTAATATAATTGCCCTTGGGCTTTTAATAATATATATATATATATATATACATACATACATTGGGAAAGAAGCATTATTCGGCTCCTTATATATTAATCAAAATAAAGAGGTACAAAACAGTGTGGAGACGAATCCCTGCTACTAAAATCCAAAGAAACACAATACTCACACCATAGGTGTTCCGCCTCCATCATTACAACTCGACATCCAGAAAAAAAAATAAACCCAAATGCTATACAAGTATACCGACAAAAAGGAGACCCCCAAAATTTACTAAGTATATGTATTAAATAAAGAGACCGTGTGAGTCAAATAAACAGAGGCAAAGAAACGCGCACATCTGCAGTCCAATATAGCCGAAGAAATAGTCAAGCCATATGTGAATCCAAGTCCAGACATCAGCAATTTTCTAATCGTCGAGATCCCCCGATCCAGAGCAAGAGAAAATAGGCGGTACCTGTATATGTGAAACTTAAGTTTAAAATTAATACTATATCCACGCAGCACAGCAAACAGGTGTCCAGTTAACCGCAAACCAGCAAGGAAGCCAACGATAAAGCATGCAGTGAATGCAGGAATACAAAAGCGAGTAAGAGAAAACCAAACAGAGACCAGAAGGTATCGGACCAAAGCAGGCAGCCAAACCCGGAACATCCAAAAAGCACCGATGACGAACATTATAATCCCCCGGCAACCATAAAATGGCCCAGATAAAACCAAATAACATAAAATAAAACAAAGTGGAGGATTAAACCAACAACAATAATGTTAAAAATAGATGAGGAAAACAGTGTAATGGTAGTAAAATGGGAGAGCCTAAAGAGAAGGCTCACCAAACCATCAGCCACGAACATATGGTGCATCGAGTTTATCCCCCACAACCAAAATATTCAAAGAGGGGGTGGCACCCTGTCCACCAGAATATTGTTACTATCAATGTCAAATACAGCGAGCCAATTGGCCGGCTTATTTCCCTCAAGATGTATGAATCTCCAAATAACAGATCGATGGGAAGAGATGAGTCTAATTCACTTAATGCAATATCGCATATCCCACAGCACTTCAGCCGCACAATTAAGTATGTCAAACATAATATTTGAATCAGTCTCAACAATAAGGAATTGCCAATTAAGCGATAAAGCAATAGTAACAGCCATCAAAATGGGGGGCTATAGGTGAAACAAGGGGAGGAGAAAAAGAGAATACAATTACCATCATCATTCCGAGCAATGCCCCCAATGACAGCATTAGAATATTTCCAGCTTCCATTCGTGTTAATTTTGACCCACCATGTAAAAGAAGGCCGTCATCTCACCAAAACCGGGAGTTGTGGTATCCTCCTCCCAATAGTATTGGAGGTTCCCAAGGATTCAAAGTAAGAAATGCCCAAAAAGAAGTTGAGTTTCGTAGCTCCCACAGTAAAAATTTTGTTAATGTAGGCAATGATGTTAGCAAAAAATGTAGCACTACTAAAATTTTTACCAACATGCTTGATATCATTACGGGCCATCCATATAAACCAACAAACAATGTCAGGATAAATTTGCAGAAAGTGTTTTTGCCTCGGAGCAGGGTTACAAACCTCAATAATGTCAATCAAATTTCAAGCAGAAGATAAGGATATACGAAACCAGCAACCGGTCTTCTGCCAAATGCAAAGGGATAAGGGGCATAAGAAGAAAAGATTCTCTATAGAATCTTCCGCAGCATTGCAAAACAAGCATCGAGAAGCAAGTCTCAAGCCTTTCAATTTTAAAATATCATCACAAGTTATCACAGAATGAAAGATCTTCCACGCCAAAAAGGACATGGATGGGGTTAAAGCCCAGCTCCAAATCCTCTCACCCCAAGAGTTTTTATTAAAGGTGTGCAAAGCGGAATATAAAGATTTAGTAACCGAACCGGTAGCTAAAAATTTCAATACTGGAGAGCCTTTCGATTGAGGCTCCAAAGGAATAGAAGAAATAAATTGAGCCCTCAAATCCCACCAACTGGTTAATAAGGGGAAGATTCCAAACACCATCCAACCAACTGTCCGAAACAAAAAAGATTAGCATGCACCACGTCCCTCAAATTGAAAGTAACCTGGGCCTAAAAGTCATGCCAAAAAGAGAGATCAACACATCCCAGCTCCCAAAAAATATATTACTTAGCCCACTCCCTAACTTGTAATATCTTTTTCCATACCCTAGAATCACCCAACCGCCAATTGGCCAATGAAAGATTGATATTATGACAATATTTTCCATGCATGAATGCAGACCAAAAGGAGTCCCCTTTCCGAAATTTAAACCATCATTTAAAAAAGTGCCGACCACAAGGAGTCCCCTTTCCGAAAGTTACACTATAATTTAAAAAAGTTTATCTCAGCTATATGAGAAAGCGATTTAAAGCCCAACCCACCGGCATAAGTCGGTTTACAAAAGCTCTTCCAAGGCAGTCACCGCCTATCAGAGTGGCCAGCCACCCATAAGAAATTATTGAAACATCTTTCAAGAACCACATTAGTGCTCTTCTTAATTTAGAGAACTTGAAACACATGCAACGACAAACTCTGTAGTATGCTCTTAAGCACAGTAATATAACCACCAAAGGACAAGAAAACATTTCTCCAATTCAGGATCCGTTTCTTAACCTTTTCCACAACCTCATCAAATTGAATTTGCCTTCTCCTTCCCTTGATTAAATTGACCTCGAGATATTTAAGCGGAAGAGCATTTAGAGAAAAACCGGTGAAGTTAGCAACCCAATTAGCATTTCCATGACTAATCGTGCTACCCATAAGAAAATGACATTTATTTGCACTAAAATGAAGCCCAAAGACCGATTGGAAATCCTCCAATAATTGATATATTTTCTTGATTGCATGTTTGATGGCATTAGAGAACAAAATAACATCGTCAGCCTTTGTGTCCTATTGAGTGTCATATTTTTATTTAATTCTAATAAATTAAAATCCATTTTTATAAAATATGCCCAAGTCTTTCTAGGTCTACCTCTACCTTTCTTAACATAAGTCGAATATAAAAGATCTACTCTCCTAACCGGATCATCAGATGGTCAATGTTAAACGTGACCAAACCATCTAAGAGGATTCTCTCTAATTTTGTCCACCACTGGAGCTACACCAACTCTGTCATGAATACATTCATTTCACATTTTGTCTTTAAATCTAAAGCCACTCATCCACCTAAGCATTCTCATCTCGGCAACACTTAACTCAGTTTTATGCTTCTATTTTAAAGGTCTCACCACCAACTTATAAAATTTTTCTTTCAATCTAAGTGGTACTTTTCTATCACACAATAGGCCCGAAGCATTCCTCCACTTCAACCAACCAACATGATGAATTCTACTAATAACATCCCCATCTATATCACCATCACTTTGAACAATAGATCCGAGATATGTAAAGCATTCACACCTTTTAATAATTGGATCACCCAAAGTTACAACTCTGTCACTAGAGCTACTACTACCAAAGTTACATTCCATATATTCAGTTTTAGTTCTACTCAAACAAAGGCCTTTAAACTGCAAGGTAGACCTCCATAATTCAAGTTTTTCCTTAGCTATTTCTCTAGTCTTATCTATAAGAAGGATATCATCAACGAAAAACATACATCAAGGTACATCCTTCTGTAAATGTCCAGTAAGAGCATCCATAACTAAAGCAAAAAGATATGGGCTTAAAACTGATCCCTGATATAATCCGGCTTGAAAATATTTGGTCATTCCTCCTTCTGTTCGAACACAAGTATAGCTCTAATATACATATCTTTAATGACTTGAATATAAGTCATATCATCACATTTCTTCTCTAGAACTCTCCAAAAGGATATCATTTGGAACCTTATCATAAGCTTTTTCTAAATCAATAAAAATCATATATATATCCTCTTGATTCTGTCTAGACTTCTTCATCAAACCTATCAATAAATGTATAGCTTCCATAGTAAACCTACCCAGCATAAATCCAAACTGATTATGAGAAATCTTTGTAATACGTCTTAACCTATGATCATTTATCTTCTTCCATAATTTTAAAGTATGACATATCAGCTTAATTCCTCTATAATTTGCACAGTATAGTGCATCCCCTTTATTCTTAAAAATGAGAAGCAAAATACTCTTCCTCCATTCATTAGCCATCTTTTTTGTTTTAAAAATAATATTAAAAGTTTAGTAAGCCAAGAAACTCCCAAATCCCCTAAATATTTTCACGCTTCAATTGGGATATCATCAGACCCTACAGACTTTCCACCCTTGATTTTCTTTAAAGCATCCTCAACTTCTTCTTTTACTAATGTGATAGTAAAAATAAAACATTTTATTACTATTAACAATATTAAAATCATTAAGGTCTATAGTATTTTCAGAAACCTTATTGAAAAATTTATCAAAATAACTCACCCACCTATATTAAATATCTTTTTCTAAGAAAATCATTTTTTGATTTTCATATATAATACTTTACTTTAGTTAAATCTTTACTTTTCTTTTCTGTTTGATTGACTTGTTGATACATATATTTTTCATCATTTTTAGTATCTAATTTATTATAAAAATCACTAAAAACAGAATTTTTTGCATCACAGATTATTCTCTTAGACTTCTTACAAGTCATTTTATATTTTTCCCAGTTTTCGTCGACGATCAGATTGAAAATACATCAAATTCGGCTTTCTTTAAATTTTGAATTTGTGCTCGATTATTTTAAACATTGTTTTCAGTTTTGATGAATTATAAAATATATAAATTTCTATTTGTCGTGAATTCAGGTGTGATATGCATTGAGTGTGTGAATTGTGATATTTGTGTATCGTGAGTGTGCGCGGAAGTCACAATAGGTTTCCTAAGGCTTTTAGTCCTATAGAAACTCTCTTCAGGCCTTCATATGCTGGTTTTTAACCCTTGCGATTAAAATTTGAGTACTCGGGACCACTCACATGAGGCCTCGCCAAAAAAGCTAGGAGGTGGTTTGAATTTCTAAAATTGTAGGTCCCGGTACTAGTCCTGTAGGAGAGTCGAGCAAAAAATCTTAAGGCCAGATCCTAGGCTCCAAGAAGAGTAAGAGACCTCATCAAAAATGAGCTCAACAGTCACGAATTTAATGCCCATGGTTTCAGAGACTATTTCAAACTTCTCATACAGGTTTTTCGATGTGCCTCATTCACAAGACTTGGATGCATACAACAACAACAACAAGCCTTTATCAAACTACGTGGGCTCGGCTACATGAATTTTTTTTTTCTCCATTGTTCCTATTGAATAGCATATTTTCATTTAATGCTAACATATTAAGATCATTTTATATATAATATGCCCAAGCTTTTTTAGGTTTACATCCTCCATTCTTAACAAAAGTGAAATCTAAAACCTTTATTCTCCTAACAGGGTCATCAGACGGTCTACATTTAATGTAACCAAACCATTTGATGACTCCTCTAATCTTGTCTGCCACTGAAGCTACAGCAACCGTATCACAGATATATTCAATTCACATTTTGTCTCTAAACACTTGGATGCATGTGAAGTTAATTTTTTTTTAGATTTTACCCTCCAAAGCAAGCAAAATAACTAATAAAAATCAGATGTTGATATGTTATTTGATGTTGAGCACTTTATATGATTGTCTACTTTTTCCAATTACAATCAAACTAGGTAACTTTCTTACAATGAGAACAAAATGGAAAACTAACAGGATGTACTGTTGACCTCAATTTTCGTGAGGTCTAGTTT